TCACGTGGCTAGCAGCTGCCGTAACAGCGAAGCTCTCAGCACCTTGCCTCACGGCTAAAGGGTCTGCTGGGCAGCACTCGTCTAGAGCCACATAGCCAATCACATATGTAATCGTCTGCTGAACACCTCCCCTGCTCTGCTGTAAGACTTTTTTTTCTCTGTTTTTGTTTTTGAGATGGAGTTTTGCTCTTGTGACCCAGGCTGGAGTACAATGACGCGATCTTGGCTCACTGCAACCTCCGCCTCCCTGGTTCAAGCGATTCTCCTGCGTCAGCCTTCCAGGTAGCTGGGATTACAGGTGCCCACCACCATGCCCAGCTAATTTTTACATTTTTGGTAGAAATGAGGTTTTGCCATGTTGGCCAGGCTGGTCTCAAACTCGTTACCTCAGGTGATCCACCCACCTCAGCCTCCCAAAGTGCTGGGATTACAGGCGTGAACCACCTCGCCCACCTGCTCTGCCCTAAGACTTTTAACCCCCCAATTAACTCATCCGCTTCTCCCCAACCCTCACCACACTGGCTTCTCCTCCTGTGGCTTGTGGCTTGGTGAAAGCTATGCGTGCCATCATGCAAGGTCCTGGGCCAGAAGCCTGCGAGCCACTTGGATGCCACCCTCCCTGCCCCCACCACGGCTCATCCATTGCCAACCCCTGCACGTCTCCTCTCCTCTCGTCACTTCTTCCCCAGCCCTGGCTGGTTTTCTGCCTCCCATCTGTCTCCCACACTGCTTCCAGAGGCAGCTTTGAAAAATGCAAATCTGAATGCCACCCCTGGCTTCAAGGGCTTCCCATGCCAATAAAGGAGGCAGTAAGCCCTGAGCATTTCCATCTGGCTCTTCCCCACCCTTCACTCCAGCCCTCTGGAGCCACTCAGTCCCTAACAGGTGACACTTGAGGTCTCGTCCTCTGACACAAGCTCTTTCCTCTGCCCGGATACCCATTTCTCCTCTACCTTCTCCATCTGTGTATTCTCCAGAACTCAGCCTGAGGCCACCTCCTCCTGGAAGTTGCCCAGACCCAGGGCATGCTGTAGGTGCCCCTCCCCCACATCCGGACAGAACCAGTCTACAGTCGCTGGTTTCCTGGTCCATCCCCACGACTCCAAGTCCCTGGGACATGGGAGCCCCATCTCATTTCTCAGGAATCACCAGCATCTGATGTCTAATTCTCAGCAGGGCTCGAATGCTCCACTCACCTCCAACCAATCCCAAGTACAGAGCCATCATCCAAAGACGACATGCCCCAGCCACAGACCTGTCCAAATCTCTCTCTAACTCTGGGTGGGGATGCAGGGATCCAAGGTACGTCACTGTCACCAGAACGCTGACTCCTGATGCGGCCATGTGGCCGTCTTCCCCAGAAATCCTCCTCTTATCTGAACTCAGAAGGCTACTCCTTCAAAGAGACAAAGCCACAGCCTCCATTCACCAAGGTTAAGAAACACTGATGTTCAGGAAGACAGTCTGAAATACATGGCTGGGCTCGGGGACTCACACCTGTAATCCCAGCATGGGAGGCTGAGGTGGGCAGATCACCTGAGGTCAGGCGTTTGAGACCAGCCTGGCCAACATGGTGAAACCTTGTCTTTACTAAAAATACAAAAATTGCCAAGGCGTGCTGGCACGTGCCTGTAATCCCAGCTACTCCAGAGGCTGAGGCAGGAGAATTGCTTGAACCTGGGAGGCAAGGTTCCAGTGAACTGAAATAGCACCACTGCACTTCAGCCTGGGTGGCAGAGTAAAACTCCATCTCAAAAAAAAAAAAAAAAAAAAAAAAAACAATTACAGTGCATCCACATGATGGAAACTAGAGAAACGAGGTGGTTGATTAGAGTGGCGAACTCCACAATCGGCGGGGTGGGGACTGTGGCAGACCAGGAAACGTGTTTTTTCTAAAGACGTTGAAAGAAGGAAAGAATATGGAGGGACTGGGGGCACAGAATCAGCCAGCAGCACCAGTTGGGAGTCTCTATAAATAGGTGAATATTTACTGACATGGAAAGATGTTTGGGCCGGGTGCGGTGGCTCACGCCTGTAATCCCAGCACTTTCGAAGGCCAAGACAGGCAGATCACTTGAGGTCAGGAGTTCAAGACCAGCCTGGCCAACGTGGTAAAACCCTGTCTCTACTAAAAAATACAAAAATTAGTATGTGGTGTGGTGGGATGCACCTGTAATCCCACCTACTCAGAAGGCTGAAGCAGAAGAATTGCTTGAACTCAGGAGGTGGAGATTGCAGTGAGCAGAGATGGCGCCGTAGCACTCCAGCCTGGGTGATAGAGCGAGACTGTCTCAAAAAAGAAAGAGAGAGAGAGAGGAAGGAAAGGAGGGAGGGAAAGAGAGAGAGAGAGAAAGAAAAAGAAAAGAAAGTTTATAAAGCAGTAACGAGTGAAAATGCAGATTGAAAACATGCAGACCCAAACACACGTGCACACGCGCACGCACAACCACAAAGACCCGAAGGCCACCCACCAGGCCGCCAACAGCGATGATCCGCGCTGATGAGAATACAGATGCTGTTACCGTTTTTTCTTTCGGCCTCTCTGTTTCTTTCCCCTGTAATAGTCGCATCCTTTTTCACAGTAAATACACATTATTTTCCACTTAGAAAAATGACAAATAAGCCCCACCCTGGGGACTAAGGGAGCACTTTGTTGATTCCAGGAAACTCAACTGGATGCATAGGAAAGTGGGTTGGGGAGAAAAGAGGGTTTGCTGATGCTGCGTCGTTAGAGGCTCAAGCGGAGCCACGAGGAATACAGATCGGCCTAGTGCTGAAGTCTCACGCTCTTTCGCTCATTCGTTCAACAGATGTTTACTGAGTGTCTACTACGTACCCAGCAGGGAGCTGGATTTCGTGCTGAATGGAACAAGAAGATGTCCCTTCCCCTAGGCAGTAGAGTCCCTGGCAGCTATGGTGTTAGGGCCAGGAAGGGCACGGGTCATAGGGAGCACAGCAGGGTGGCACTGGAATTAGGCGAGCCAGAGAGAACGCTTTCCCAGCAGCAGGGGGCTTTGTTGGTCTTTGGCCGCTGCTGCTGAAGGAGGCTGCCTGTGTAGGGCCCGTGGCCTGCAGCCGGGGAACAGAAGGAAATGGAGCCCAGTCCTGCAGCCCATCCCCTGCATGATGTGCAATGACCAGCCTGTTCCTGGACCAGGAGTAGCCCAGTGTTTATCAGCGATTCCTTCTGACAAAGCCCCACTACCCCTGAAAAGGCACCGAGAGCCAGGCTCTGGCCATGGTGCCTTCAGTTCACCACTGAGCCTGATCCTTAGAATGCGAAAATGGGCTCAGAGCAATGAAGCCGCCTGCCCCAGGTTCCACAGTGGGGAGGTGCTGGAGCTCAGATTAGACCTAGGTATAGCCGACAGCAAAGTACATTACACTTCACCCTGAGGGGTGGCCAGAAAAATGCCAGAGAGCATAGGCTCCTCCTCCTCCCAAGTCATGGGCCAGCGCCTGTTCCCACCCGCTCAGGGCTAGGGTGCCCACCAATTTGCTTACTTGCCTGTGGCTGGAACAGCTGCAGCAGCCTTTGACTTTGAGGGTTGTCTCCAGCAGCTGAGCCCTTGCATTCATCATTCGACAGAGGATTACTGAGAGCCCACCCCATGCCAGGTATGGCACGGGGCACCAGGGAAACCTGCAACCATCTTCCCTGATGCAATGTGCTACGATCTCCCTGGTGCCAGCCTGCTAGCATCTTCAAATGCGCCACTGCAGTTGAATTCCTTTGGGTTTAGGCACAGGATCACCAAGAACATCCACACACACACACCCCTTAAAATGTGAGGGGCTTGGGCAGTGTTGCCCACTGGATGTGCCTTTTGAGGACACTGCTTTTGTAGGGTGAAGAGAGGCCAGCATGCTCCAAGCTCTGAAGAAGGGAGGGAAAGGCCCACATGCAGGGGTACAGATGATGTTCTCTCCCCGCCAGTGCCCTCTGATGGGTAGAAGCAGACCCGAGTGCTGGGCTGCAAAGGAATCTGATTCACGCCCCATGCAGGGAGGACCCACAGGGCCGCAGGTCTTGCCCTCATCGATATCCTTTCATGGGGGAGGGGGCTTCCCTGAATGACGGAAGATGCAAGAGCTCCATAGTCACCCCCAAACCCACCCAGATCCCTCCATCTCTCACTTTAGACTCTTTACAAGCAGAATGGGGCCAAGTGTTTCTGAACACATTCGTCCCTAGCTCTGAAGACTGGCCCCAGGAATCTGTGGGCCCTGCCCACCTTCTGGCCTACATCCGCCTCAAACCCACCCAGGGCTGGCAGCTTTCCCAGGCGAGGCCCTTCTCCTTTGCTGGTCCCAGGGCAGAGGGTGGCTGGCATCCAGATGACTGGCTGAGGGGGATGGGTACAACCCAAAGCACAGGGCTTGGGCATTCTACCAAGTGTGGCTTCAGCCATGGCCAACAGCAACATTTGACCCAGCACAGGGCACTGAGAACTTGACTTCCCCATGCCCGCCTGCCCGCCTGCAGTCTGCCTCTTCTCCTCCTCCCCTCGATGCCTGCCTTCCTGCCTGCCATCTCCTGCTCTGCTCTGTCTCATGTCAAGGAAAATTCCTACAGGAGCCTGGGAGATGGGCAGACACTGGGGCTGGGCCACAGCCATCCCGATGGCCGTCCTGGACAGGACGGGGGCCCGAGGAGAGGCCTGTAGTCTGTGCCAGCCCCATCTGAGGCTGGAGAAGGGGTTGGCTCCAGGGGGCCTCAGAGCCAAGACAGGGGTGCCTGGTGTGCTATGGGGGTTGTGGGGGTCCCAGTGCCCCTGCTGGAAACCATCCCCCTTTGAACCACATTCAGATGCCAAGCCCAGCTCTGGAAATTGAATATGGGCAAGAACCGGCAGCTGGAGGGGTGCTGATGTGCCAGGAGCTGCTCATATCACCCCAGCACAAGTGTCACAGCCATGACCTCAACAAGGACCCAGAGATACAGATCCTTCCCACATGGCTCCAAAGCCCCTTCCTGCTCACACCGCTTGCCTCTCCCGGAGAACTGGAGCAGTGGTGGCAGCAGGTGGAGCGTCTCATGGGGGAGCTCCGGAAGGAGGAAAGGGGTGAGCATGCCCTGGGGCTGCACGTCCCTGCTTAAGATCAGGACTGGCCCTTCCAGGCCAAGGACCCCAACACAGACCCCAGGGTAGGGCCCCAAGGATCCCAAGCTCGTGAGTGCAGCTGGCTGGGATGCCCCAAGAGAGCCTAAAAGAAACTCGTTGTTGAGCTGGCATTGCTGTTTCTTCTAGACTGCTCTCTAAAGTGGGCAGGTGAGTTCTCACCCTGAATGCAGGAGTCAGGGAGATGCCAGGGTTCTTCCAGAGAGCTGCCCTGTGCCATTCGACACCAGCAGAAGGCTGGTTTCAGCAGGTTAGCAGGGGAAATGGCAGCCCATGGCCCGAGAAGTAGTATCCCCACTTGAACATCTCCGGAGGCTGCTATTGTCAGGCAGAGGCAGGACTGTCCAGGGGACGGTAACCTGCTCCTTCTTCCTGCCCTTCCTGGTGTCTGTCATCCCCACCCCTTCCCTAAGGCTCTGGAGCCTCAGTCACAGCCCCCAACCCCAGGAACAGGGACCCCTGAGGACAAGACACAAATGGGAAGCTCCGGTCCCTGTGCACACTGTAGCTACGAAATTCTTTTCATCTTTGTTTTGATGAGCAAAGTTCAATGCCAGAATATTTGGTCTATGAGTCATGCTAATTACAGCTGGGGGGAGGCACTAGGAAGAACAACAGAGAGAAGCATGTTCCAAAAACCTCTGTAGTGCTGGCTGCCCTGGACAGGGGGTCACTTCCCAGGAACAAGGAGGGAGCCCATACCCTTCCTGGGACAGCTTGGGCTTTCTCTGCTCCCACTTGGGAGGGCATCCCTTGCCAGCTGGCGGCACCTGCCTGGGAGGGGCAGTGGCGTCCTGTGGCCACACAGTGCCCACCCAAGGCTTCCTGCACCCTGCTTTCTGCCTCCCTGACAAGCTCACCGGGGACACCTCCCTTGGCAAGACAAGAAGAGAAGAAAGAGGCGGGAGAAGTTGAGAGTCCCTGGGTAGCGGACCTGTGTCCTTCCTGCCCCTGGGCATTCTCTGTTGGCAGCTGGGAAAGAGAAGTTACCAGCCTCAGCTTGAAGAGCTGAGTGCCATATTCCCAACAGCAGGGAGGAGTGTTAAAACCATACACCCTGGAGGCTGGGCGCGATGGCTCACACCTGTAATCCCAGCACTTTAGGAGGTTGACGCGAGTGGATCACTTGAGGTTAGGAGTTTGAGACCAGCCTAACCAACATGGTGAAACCCAGTTTCTACTAAAAATACAAAATTAGCCAGGCGTGGTGGCGTGCGCCTATAATCCCAGCTACTTGGGAGACTGAGGCAGGAGAATTGCTTGAACCTGGAGGCAGAGGTTACAGTGAGCCAAGATCTTGCCATTGCACGCTAGCCTGGGAAACAAGAGCGAAACTCCATCTCAAAAAAAAAAAAGAAAAGCATATGCCCTTGGGCTAAAGACACAGATCAGAGTCTTGAGTCCTACATCCCTGTCTCTGGGACCTCAGGCAAGCCGTGAGCCTCTTGAGCTTTGCAGCTCTGTTCTTTCCACAAGTGAGAGTTCCCTTGATAGAACTGTTGCGAATTAACAATTATAATAATTATTAATATAACGTTCAGCACCTGCCATGTGAGAAGCAGACACACAAATCTGTGGCTCACATGATGATGACGCTGATGGCTGCCACTGTTGCTGAGCTGTCTCTAAGGGTCTCTCCAGCTCTACAGGTCTAAGAGGGAGGGTGGGGAAACTTCTGCTTGTCCTCAGCCCTCGGCTCCCATCTCCCTTGTGTTGGTTCCCTCCTCCCTGGTTGGCGGGTACTGGACAGGTCTCCTGATCACACACAACAGCCAGTGCCTCCATCTGCAGCTGCTCATGGCTCCACTGCCTGCCGGGGAGCGGTACTTTCTCGCACTATAAAAAGCAGAGGCTGGGCAGCCTGTGAGGACGTCACATGCTCCCCTGGGGCCGTGAAGTGACCAGCAGTGGAGAGAACAGTTTCTCATGGCATTTCTCATGTTCAAAGCTCAGGATGAGAAAGCTCCCAGCATGTCGTGCTGCCTCCTTTCCTAGAAACTAGGTGGGGCAGCAGAGTCAGGAACACCTCACAGAGGGGCGGCTTCCTCCCTCCCTCCCAAGCAGGGAGTAGTTGGCCCAAAGGTGCCTGAAGCCGATGGAGGGTCCATAGAAGAGAATCTGGCTTTCTGGGGCTGGAAGAGGGTGACCCGGGCTAAGGGTGGGGACCACACCTGCACCCGCGGAGAAGCCTGGAGGGCTGAGTGGTGGGCAGTAGGTCGACAGGTGCGGTCCAGAAGCACCCAGGTGGCTCAGAGGCTCCAGCCCCAGGCCAGGGACCTCTCCCAGCGGCACGGGCACCAAGAGCTTCGCTTCCCAGGAGGGCCCTGGGGAAGCAACATTGTTTTTTCCCTCCCAAGCTGGGCCCCCTCCAGGACACCAAGGCTGTCAGACTCGGGGACCAAAGTCAGCCTTCCTATTCCATGAAGGACCCAGGTTGGCCACAGATGGGCCTGGCAGACCCGGCGGTCAGGTGGTCCCGGTGAGACTGGGGAGGGGTGAGGGCATCCCCGCCAGGTGCGGCCGTGGGCATTAGTACCACTCCTCTTCCACACCCTCAGAAACGCACCAGAGAAGAGTGAAGCAAGATAAACCCCCCACAAAAAGCTGGGGGGAAGGTGCGATGGCTCCCGACAGTATCCATGTGCAGAAGAGTCCGGCTCCTCCGCAGGCAGGGAGCCCCAGGACAGCGACTCCGCACAGAGGCGCCTATGCGGGTGGCTGAGCCAGGGCTGGGCGCCAGGGCTTCCCCCAAATCTGGGGTCCCTCTGCCCCTGCGCCTCCACCGCTCCCACCGGCCCTCCCGGCCCAGGTGTCTGCCCGCCCCGCCCTGGCCACCGGGCTGAAGCCACGAGGACAGGGGCGGGGTGGCGCCGGGTCCCTGCGGCTGGGCCACCTACCTCCGTCCCGCCGGCCGCTCCTCCCGCGCCGCCCTTAGAGCATCTCCCGGAGGCCGAGCCTCCTCCCCACCGGGTTCGGGGAGACGCGCAGACCCGCCGAAGGAGACAGAGCGGGGAGACCAGTCCTCGAGGCCGACGGTGCACAGAATGAGGGTGGGGGCGGTGCGAGCAGCCGCGGGTCCCCCCAGCACCTCTGGTCCGCCACCCAGGCTCCGAGGTCCCTGTGACCAGAAGCGGAAGCACGGTTTCTCGAAAGTAAAGGAAGAGACGCAGAAAGTGGGAAGACGCGCACGGAGCGAAGCCCAGCCAGATGTGAGCCGCGAGGAGCCGCCAACACTCCCAGCGCTTTCCGCCCAAACAGCAGCCGCGGAGGATTAACTGTGTGTGCCCCGCCGCCCCGAGGAACGCCGGCGGCCGCCTCCTCCCGCCCCTGGGGATCGCGCCAGGCTGGCAGTGGGGAGGGCCGCTTCCGTGCATCCGGAGGGCTGTGCAGAGGTGGAGGGGGTGCGATCCCGGGCGAGGATGCCCCGCGCAGGACGGGGGTGCCCACAGGGCAGAGCACCCCCAGTCACTTGGTAGCAGGGGGTGGGCTCCAAGGCCTGGGGATCCCCTGCAGCCAACCCCAAGGGGTCAGGTCTTCAGTGTCAGACCTGAGACACCCCGCACATCATCCGGGACTCAGAGATTTGGGGGAATCTGTGAGCACCCTACAAAAAAATGCCAAAGTGTGTGTGTGCGCCCGTGTGTGTATGTGTGTGTGTGCGTGTGCGTGTGTGCGAATGTGTGCGTGTGTCTGTGCGTGTGTGTGCGATATGTGTGCGTGAGCGCGCGCGTGTGTGTGCATGTGTGTGTGAGTGTGCACGCACACACATCTTTGGAAGACGATGGTCCACTGTGCTGTTTTGTTCAGGGTCTTGAGAGCTCTGTGATCTAATGGTTAGGAGTGGACCCACGGTGATGGAAGCATTCCTCCATCTCTATCAGGCCTCTCATTCCTTGATGTGAAGACCTGACATTTTCTCAATCATACACAAACATTTTTTCTGAACCATCCCCGTAGGCCGCCCTCCAATCCGGATCCCTAATCCGGGCTTCTCCAGAGCCGGCCCTGTTTGGGGCCCAGTCTCTATCCTCCGACTCTGCATCAGCCCAGCTCTCTCTGGAAAATTACCATATCACTAGCAGGGGAGGATCTGGCCAGAGATGGGAAGTCTGCTCTGATGATAGCAGCGTTCCCCACTTTCTTTTTGCTTCTTTTCAGCCCTGCTGCCCTGTTCTCTCTGATCTGCCCTTCGACTCGATGCTGTACCTGGGTTTTTTGGTTTTGTCATCACTCCTGTGAGGGCCTGTCTCTGGCTACATCTAAACAGGAAATATGAAAACAGGGATGCTGGTTGGGACATTCAGAGCGCTAGAGGCTTTACCTTTCCCTGCCTGGAATGTGCTCCCATCCGCTGCACCAACAACGGGACAGATGAAAAGAATCAGAGGAGAGGAAGAAGAGGGTGCATGCTCGATGCCAGCTGCCTTGCCCCAGGCGGGGTGAGGCCAGCACTCGGGTAGACATGAGGATGAATGGATGAGAACAGAAGGGGACGCCTCCGGGCAGGTGAGCCGCCCAACAGCCACTCCACAGAGGCCCTGGCTGCGTGTGCCAGCCCTTCCTGTGAGTACAGGGAGAAAGGCTGCCAGGCCTCTGGCACTCAGGGGGAACTCAGAGGACACGATGGCAACATGAAGTCAACACTACTTAACCAACTAGAGACAGGGCCTCTGCGAGGCTTAGGAGATCAGGGCTCGCCTGTGTTCTTGGCATACATGTCTGAGGCTTGGCAAAACCTACATCCCTGGTTGCTTATTGATACAGGAAAAGCCACAGATAAGCTTGTCTCCATTCCTGTAAGTGACGCGAGGACGTTTCCCAGTCACCAGGAGCAAGGCCTAGCACACAGATTGACCTTTCCTTAGTTACTCTATCCTCAAATAGCCCTTGCTGCAGGGGTACCAGAGAAAGCAACAGCATTTTTCGCAGCCCTTATGAGACCTTTGTCCATACTTCAGGGAATCTGGGCCTTTCTAGAACTTATGAGCTGGGAAACTTCCTCAATGCAATGGGAAGGCTCCTCGTTGTGCTGCCCGGGAGCCTCAGACTCGGAGAAGTCCTGGGCAGATATCAGAATTCACAAAGGTGGACACAAAGGATGACTCAAAAGAGAAAGAGATGAGGATGATGTGGTGGCTCACACCTGTAATCCCAGCACTCCAGGAGGCTGAGGCAGGAGGATTATTTCAGCCCAGGAGTTTGAAACCCACCTGGGCAACATAGTGAGACCCTGTCTCTACAAAATATAAAACAATTAGCTGGGCTTGGCGGCACACACCTGTAGTCCCAGCTACTCGGGAGGCTGAGGTGGGAGGATCCCTTGAGCCCAGGAGGTCAAGGCTGCAGTGAGCCCTGATTGTGGCATTGCAGCCTGGGCAACAGAACGAGACTCCATCTCAAAAAAAAAGTAATTGTGGATGATGGAAGAGTTATTCTTTCTCTTTACCCCATCCAAGATAGCTTTGGTGTTGAAGAACTGAGAAACAACTATCTTTAACATAATTCCAAGACAGAAACTCTAGAGACCCAATGTAGTATGAAATTCTAGAAAGACAGCTGAAAGCTGGCCATCTCTTCCAGCAGCGCCTGGCTCATCCTACTGGGAGCCCCTTGTCCTGGCTCTGTCCTACCTTGAGGCAGCCTGGGGATGCTACCGTACTTCAGTGGGCCTTAGCTTCCTTATCAATAAGGCAGAGATAGGTCCAGGGTCTCTTATCTGGAACCAAGGAGGCCAGCTGTGTCCAGAGTCAGATGCAAATATCCCACGGAGCATCTTACCCAGAGGGCTGTGGGCGGTGCCCCTTCATCAAACACTTGCATGTGCGACAGTGGGACAAAGGCAAGCCATCCTTAGCCTCAGGACAGTTCAGGCCAATTTGTTCTGCCAAATTTGTAAGTGCCAAATTTAGAGGAAAACTAAGTTTTCAAAGTTTTTGCATTTCCAGGATTTGGGAGAAGTGATTGCGAACCTGTAGTTTCACACACGATTAATAAAAAGGTTGATGGATGCAACTATCATCATGACAAGTATAATCTTCCTTCCCTCCTCTTTGACTTCACCACCTGTCCTGAGCTGCCCATAACATGGGCAGCGCCATCCAGGAGCCACGAGCATGGGCCAGCAGCCCGGGACCCTGGATCTGCCTGCTCTTGGGAAGAGGAGAGGAGGAAGAGATCAGAAAAGAGGCTACTCATTTTCCTTGAGGCAGAAACTGGGGATGGGGAGGAGTGGCATCAGATGTAACAAAAAGAACCTGGGGTTTCCTGAGATCTTGTGTGAGACCCAAGGTTCAGAGGTGTGAGAAGCTTCAAAGAAGAGGAGTTGAGGTCTGAGTACATCTTAGGTGCTGCCATCTTGGCTCACAACTCAAGACAGCAGGCGGTGGGCAAAGACTCACAAGGCCAGCCTCCCAGAGAACACAAGCCAGTCCTCAATAAAAAGTCCAAAATGGAGAGCATGCCAGGTTCCTAATGCTCTGTAATCAACTTCACCTCTGCTTCATCCTTGTAAGCAGGAAGACAGAAACTTGGGCAAGCAAGGGCTGTCCTTGCAGAGTGGCTGATCTTCTTCCATCCCTGCCTTAGGCCCCCCAAGCAACAAAAGACAGGGGGTTTTCCCTTTGGCAAAATCCTTTCCTGTTGGGCAGAGATCCTGAGAGTGCTAGGACGAGAGTCAGGACAAACAACACAGCAGAAATCAAAAACAAAGCCAGCCACAGTACCTGGGGGTTCCAGCAACCCTGGGACTATGGGTCAGAAGTCAAAGCCAACTTCCAGAAAGACTGAGTCCCCTCCCCAAGGTCTCTCAGCTCCCCAAACACATCCTAAAGCTCCCTAGGAGCTCACATCTGCACAAGGGTGTCTGGGCGAAAACCCCTAAGAGTTTCCTGAATATTCCCAAATCATCCCATAGTCTCAGTCAAGGATAGGTCATAAAATGTGAAGCTCCAAGCTCACAGGGAAGATATACTTCCTGGAACCCCTGGCAGGGGAGGCAGCACGTTCCGGGTCCTCCCGGATTTGGCAATTCTTTCTCTCTTCCTGGGCCTGTCACCACCGCTCACTGGGTCTGTTTGCTCATTGTAGGAAAAAGCAACGTGACCTCGGGTAAGTCTGTAAGACACTCGGTTCCAGATAGGCCTGTCATTAGCAGCACTGTGATTTTTCCCACTGCAGCCCTCCCATCCCGCCTTTCCCAACTATTTTGGGTTGGGCCGCCCAGTCATCCCACAAGGGCAGAGACTGGTATTGCAAACTTTGATTTCTGTTCCCAAGGGTAGCGACCGGCCGGCTCCGATGGTGATGTCCCACAGCCAAGGGTTGGGGGTGGGGAGAGTCTCCACAGAGCTTGGAAGAAGCTGCTGAGATGGAAGCGTGGAAACTTGGCAGGCAGATCCAGCCTCCCTGGCCGCTGGCCCATGCTCGTGGCTCCCGGATGGCGCTGCCTGTATTCCGGGCAGCTCGGGACAGGTGGAGATCAGGACTGGCAGCTGCAAGGCAGACCAGGTGAATAGGCTTCTTTATGGTCCTCACACCTGCAGAAAACCAGGAGGGCAAGAACGTTCCCTCTCCAAGAAAGCCTCGCCTTTCCGCAGAGGTTCTCCCCTGAGGACATGTACATGCCTCACAGCTCTATCAAGCCATTTAATTTCCCTACACCTCAGTTTCCCCATCTCTAAACATTTATTCTGTTTGGCAATGAATGCCTTCAGTTACAGGGAGACAGGCATAATGGACAATTAGGCAATATTTTACCTGATAAATAAGATGGGAGGGCCCCCTGGTGGACTCCCCAGTTCCAAGCACTTAACTATGAAACGAACGAGTAAATGTGTCAGTAAACACGTGAATGAATGATTCAGTGAAGAATGTCTTGTCTTTTCCGCAGAGACACAGAAACTAAAGGGAATTTCCAGGAGGAGGCTATGGTGAAGTCTCTGATGATGCAAAGAAGACAAGGAGAATGAAAATCCACTGGCAGCCTGATTGTATGTGTTGACCTTAAGGAGAGTGATTTTATGGCACAGCCTCTCTGGAAGGTACAGTATGTTTGCTCACAGTATGTAAATACCATTTGGCCCAGTGACCTTTCTGCTACGGGTTTATCCTACAGATAAACTTAGAGTGCTGATCAAATAGGTGAGTTCAAGGATATCCTCTGAAGCATTGCTATAGTGAAAAAAAGATTGTAGATAACCTCAAACGGCATCATTAGGGGCCTAGTAAAATAAATTCCGCACAGGGGAATACCGTGTAGCTCTTTAGAGAATAAGCAGCTCTCTACATGTGATACGGAACAATCTCCAAGCTATATTGTTAAGTAAAAAACTACAAACTCTTACTGAAAAGCGTGAAAGAAAATCCAAAGAAATGGAAAAGCAAAACATGGTCTTAGAAGACCCAATATTATTACAAAATCTCAGTTCTTGTTCAATGAAACTATAGATTCAAAGCAACTCCACTCAAAATCCCACAAGGCTGAAGGTGGGTAGGGTAGGAGGGAACTTGTCCTACACCCTAGGAAAGCTTATTATAAAGACATAATACTGAAGATACTGGTACTGAACAGATGTGATCAAGTATCTTAGTACGATGTAATAGAAAGCCCCTCCCGACAAATGCCCCATGTGTGTATGAAAACTTGATCTATGACGAAACTGGCATTGCACACATATTCATGGGGAAAGGATGGATCAATTCCTAAAGACACACAGAGATGTTGGGGCATCCACAGAAGAAGAAATGTGAATGGCCAAAAGGTATAAGAAAAGATACACAACCTGGCCATAATCAGGCAATGAGCAGACACTTATTACCATCAGACTGGCAAAATTAAAACATCTCATGGTGTCTGTGGAGCTGTTACTAGAAAGGGTCCCGAACCAGACCCCAAGAGAGGGTTCTTGGATCTTGAGCAAAAAAGAATTTCGGATGAGTCCACAGAGTAAAGTGAAAGCGAATTTATCAGACAGTAAAGGAGGCCAGATGCAATGGCACACACCTGTAATCCCAACACTTTGGGAGGCAAAGGCAGGTGGATCACAAGGTCAGGAGTTCAAGACCAGCCTGGCCAACATGGCAAACCCCGTCTCTATTAAAAATACAAAAATTAGCCTGTCACTGTGGTACATACCTGTAATCCCAGCTACTCAGAAGGCTGTGGCATAAGAATCACTTGACCCTGGGAGGTGGAGGTAACAGTGAGCCAAGACTGTGCCACTGCACTCCAGCCTGGGCAATAGAGTGAGACTCTGTCAAAAAAAAAAAGGAAGGAAGGAAGGAAAGAGGAAGGGAGGGAGGGAGGGAGGGAAGGAAGGAAGGAAGGAAGGAAGGAAGGAAGGAAGGAAGGAAGGAAGGAAGGAGAGAGGGAGGGAGGGAGGGAGGGAGGGCAGGCAAGCAGGTGAGAAGTAAGACAGACACGGTGGCTCACGCCTGTAATCCCAGCACTTTGGGAGGCCAAGGCAGGCAGATCATGAGGTCAGGAGATCGATACCATTCTGGCTAACATGGTGAAACCCCATCTCTACTAAAAATACAAACAAACAAAAATTAGCCAAGCATGGTGGCATGTGCCTGTAGTCCCAGCTACTCAAGAAACTGAGGCAGGAGAATTGCTTGAACCCTGGAGGCAGCAGTTGCAGTAAGCCAAGATCATGCCACTGAACTCCAGCCTAGGTGACAGAGCAAGACTCCTTCAGAAAGAAAGGGAAAGAGAGAAAGAGAGAAGGAAGGAGAGAAAGAAAGAAAGAGAAAAAGAAAAGAAGGAAGGAAAAAAGGAAGGAAAGAAGAACAAAGGAAAGAAAGAGAAGGAAGGAGGAAGGGAGGGAGGGAGGGAAGGAAGGAGGGAAGGCAGGAGGGAAGGCCCCTGAGGGCTGCTGGTTGGCTATTTTTATGGTTATGTCTTGATAATATGCTAAACAAGGGGTAGATTGTTCATGAGCTTTCTGGAAAAGGGGTAGAAATTTCTTGGAATTGAGGGTTCCTTCCCCTCGCAGACCACACAGGGAAACTTCCAGCGTTGCCATGGCCTTTGTAAGCTGGCATGGCACTGGTGGGAGTGTTTTTGGCATGCTAATGCATTATGATTAGGATATAATGAGTAGTGGGACAACTAGAAGTCACTTTTGTTGCCATCTTGGTTTTGGCAGGTTGTGGCCCGCTTTTATATGGCATCCTGTTATCTGAGCAGGGTCTCTGTGGCCTGGACTTGTGACCTCCTATCTCATCTCAGACCCCAGGGGGTGAAAATGCCTAACCTCCCAGGAATGCCGCCCAACAGGTCTCTGCCTCATTTTACCCAGCCCCTATTCAAGTTGAAGTTGCTCTGATTCCAATGCCTCTGACATATTTCCCCCTCCATTTCACAAGAGGACCCTTAATCCTACGGGTTGTAAAGGTAGGAAGATTCCTCTTCTGTAGTTTCTTCAGGCTAAATAGGAGTAAAGATATTCCCACCTGACTAGGAAGGTCTTTTGTATTCAGGGTAGAGAGGAATTCAGTGAGAAAGCATCAGCACAGTGAGGGCCATTCATAACTCTGAGTTCCAACAAAAGGTGGTATCTGGAAGATTAGCAAATATTCAGTGTTGGGCAAGCTTATTCTCCATTCCTATGCAAGGTATGCAACAGCAACATATTCCACAATAGTAAAGCAAAATAAGTAAAATTATCTGATACGGTTTGGATCTGTGTCCTCACCAAATCTCATGTCCAGTTATAATCCCCAAAGTTGATGGGAAGTGATTGGATCACAGGGTGGATCTCATGAATAGTTTGGCATCATCCCCCTTGGTCCTGATAGTGAGTGAGTTCTCATGAGATCTGGTTGTTTAAAAGTGTATGGTTCCTTCTCCCTCTCTCTCTCTTTCTCCCGCTCCTCCCATGTAAGATACCTGGCCCTCACTTTGCCTTAGGCCATGACTAAAAGCTCCCTGGGGCCTCTCCAGAAGCAGATGCTGCCATGCTTCCTGTATAGTCTGCAGGACTGTGAGCCATTAAACCCTGTTGCTTTATAAATTACCCAGTCTGGGGTATTTCTCTATAGCAGTGTCTGAATGGACTAATGCTTTGTCCCAAATAAATTAAATAAGAAGGCATTCCAATAACTGCCCAACTGTTGGAACTAAGCTGATATGGGGTTGCTAACAGATTCCAATATATGCCGCATTAGAATACTAATCCAGATTTTTCTTATGTTACCCATCCCTATTATTTGTTCTGAGCTGTAGCCAGAGATCACTGGTTGGTTCACAGAAATAAGCAGGGTCAGTCTAGATTGTAGGGGAAAAAAAAACAATCAGTGAGACTAGAATCTAACAATGGGCGTACCACAGTTTTTGAAACATAATTTTTCTCTCTCTAGTCCCCATTTTTATTAAAAACAAATAATGGTAGGACTTGCTTGTGAAATAAGCTTTAGTCTTACCATACTTGGCATGATTATTTGCATAAAGTGCAGCAAGAATAATTATTCATCATATAGGCTCTTTTTTTTAAAATTGGCTTTGATGGAACCTTGTTCCATAAGGAATCTTATATTTGACTTTTTTAAAGCCTTGCCCAGCCATGGGCTTATACCTTCAATTACCTGTATGATCCTCTCAAGGTCCCAATATAACTTAGGGCTTCTGGACCTGTCACAAAGTGACATTCTCTACTTACTACATGTCAGGAACCCTGTACAGGGGCTGCACAGACAAGGTATAAAGCCAGTTTTCCCAAGGACATTTTATTAGCTCTATAAGTCAACTTTGATTCCTTAAGGCAGTTTGTTTATATTTGAAAGCATACCATTCCATTCAAAGCCTTGATATAAACCAGTTTCTCCAATTGTGTCCTGTTACAAAAGAAAACAGATTTTTATTGCACTTATGCAAATAATTATTAATATCTTGCCATAAATTAAGAATACTCACAAATAGTTTTCAAATTTTGGATAAATCAGGTAGAGAGAAAGAAATATGCTCCAAATTTTGTTTACCGAGATATATTTTACTCAACTGTTAAAAGCTGTAAATAGTTCAAAAGAAAAGTTTGCTTGACTCCGAAAAACAAAACAGAAAGGATCAGCAACATTTTAAGAAAAAAGTCATAAAAAGATTATTTCCATCTTTCATTAGTCTGTGCAATTAATTTCTGTTATGCACAATATTTAAGAACACATTATTTTTCCAAAAGAGTCTTGGAAGCTTTTTTCTTCCTCTGTATTTTAATGGCACACTTTTCAAAGTTATCAGAGGCTTGCATTTAAGAGTAATTGTCAGTATCCTATAGCTGGTTATAAACCTTCATTTGAAGAGGATTAAAACAAGACAATAATTGTCTGTGAATGACAAAAAGTCTTAGAACAGCCACAGTCAAAGATGCAATTGACAAGGAAATTTCATTACTTCTGTAGCACACAATTTTACATAACAATTATAATTATTACTGATAATATACACTAAGTCACTAATAACATACACTAAGTCATTATAGGAATTTTCCTGTAATTTTAGAACACATACCAATAACATATTATTCAAATATGGTCTAAAGAAAGCCAAACACCATTTCATATTTGACAATGCTTCCTGTACAATTTTAATATACCAAATAAGTCTCTTTTGGACTTTAGGGTTTTTAACCATCTAAAAGGATTAATCATGTCAGAAAAATACATATTTAGAATCTGATTTTGGAAAGTTTGTCAAATATCAAAGTTTAAAACACTTGATATTATAAAATAAAATTCCAGGTCACCATAAGTCATTTATTTAGCCAAAATGGTAACTCAACAATTTTAAAAAGACAAAAACCTTTACCCATTGATAGAGGGAAGATTTAACTCTCCAAACAATCTGTCTCTTTTCTTTCCCTTCTTCTTCCTCTAGTTTATTTAAAAGGCAAACAAAAATCTTTCATTATCTTTTAATATTACATGAAAATCTTGTTCAAGAGAGAAAGCCAAATTTCACCTTTGCAATAGTATACTATTGATGTCAAATTCGATTCCCAGTAAAACTTTACAGACAAACTTTTCTGACTTCAATCAGTTTGACCATAAGGTAAGATTTTCATAAACCTTTTATAACCCTTTACAATTTTTTTTTTGTTAAAGAGTATCCCAATGCTTTAAGAAAACCCTGTTGTGCTCTTATTCCAGTGTTCAATGTAGGGAGAAACTGACTAATACTCCTTTAACTTTGGCCAATATGTTCACACAGAGAATTCCTTCTATAAGATTCATCTTTCACAACCCTTCCACAAGCTGCTTAAACCTTCTGTTTCATCCTATCTAAGAACAATCTTTCAACCTTCCAAACCAGGCAAAACATCCTGTCTTCCTATGCCTTCTTATAATCTTTTACCAAGTACACATTATACTTTCCTTATACTCTGTGCATGAGATTACTCTCCAGTAATCTGTTACACGTATTACAGTGTTAACTCTTAGGAACTTTCATTTTTGGCCCAAAAAAACCCTGGTAAGTAAGTGATTTTATTTGTATATCAGGTGTGGAGCTTAGGGCACCAGACAAAGGTGCAGATAAGGTCTGATTCTTTCCAGCATAGCTAGGGGCATGGCTAACTCCATATGTTCCCACGTAATGGCTCCAAAGGAGGTAAGTTGAACAATTATCAAAAGTCAAAGAAGTAGTTTATCGAACATAGTATCTGACCTGACTAATTTAGACCTAATGTCTAAATTTCGAAGACATTTTTATTTTACCAATAATCCTTAAAACTGCCTTTTTTTTCCAAAGATTACTAAAGTCATGTGAACAAAAAGGCATTAATATTTTAATTTTTCTGGTGAAATATTTTATTTAACTGCTTGTTTTTCTTTAAGCCAATTAAATAGAACTCTTTTATGTATTTTTGGTACTAAAATATGACTCACGCGGGTGGTGGAGACCGAGAGTAAGTACCCCCACATGGTCACAAGGTCAAGCTCCCAAGGACATAACACAAGACGAGGGGGAATCCACATCCAGTTTTTGTTCCAGTGGCCTGCAGCAAAGTTGGCAGCTGACCAGTTTGCTGGGCCAGCCCAAATAGTGGGCTCACAGCGGTCCTAGGCCCACATTCTATCCTATGATATCCCATTTATGACAGAATGACACAGAAAGACAAATTCATAGCGCAAAGTGCACCAGATTCATCACAGCCTAAGACTAGCCTCACAAATCCTTTCTCCCATTCATCAAAACCTTGCAGAGGAGACCATGATTTTTAGCATTCACTCAAATGGTTTGCACAGAGAGGGAGAGACAATTATAATTACTCAGAGGCCTGACGAGTAAGAAATTCTTACCCTTTTGCCAACATGCCAGGTTTCTGGGATCCCTTTCCCTACGCAGCCCTAGCCACCCTGCCTCACAGCACCATAACTGTGGGGGCCAAGTCACACCACAAAGGAATTATCACTGTTTTCCACTTCATGGAACCCAGGCAAAAGCCTCTCAATTTTGCAAGGTGCTGCTCAGCACGTTGCATTGCAGGAACCAAATCCACATTGTCCGTTCCGGGCAGAACAAAACACACTTGACAAAACATAGACATTAGCCACCCCCTCAGCACCAAATACTGACCTGGCAAGCTCAAAAATTCCCCCGTCGGTCTCTGTAGTCTCTAATCCATTCAAAGTTGGGTGGAATGACTGCCAACCAGAAGTTTCAACAAGTGGTTTTGGACAACATGGAAGAGTAGACAGTCATCCAGAGTGACAGAGAAGACAGATGAGGGAAAGGCGAGAAACAGAGAGAGAGGTGCCAGGTGCGGTGGCTCACCCCTGTAATCCTAGCACTTTGGGAGGCCGAGGTGGGTGGATCACCTGAGGTCAGGAGTTCAAGACCAGCCTGGCCATCATGGTGAAACCGCCTCTTAAAAAAAAAAAAGAAAGAAAGAAAGAGAGAGAGAGAGAGAGGAAAGGGAAGGGAGAAGACCACTGCCTGTGGTAGATTTCGGAGGTGAGGAGCTAAAGGAAGCCGGAGAAAGACCCATCCATTACTGTGACACTGAATCAAAAGTTCAGGCAGCTGCTTGTTAAAAGGGATCTTTCCTAGCAGTCCCATCAGCTCTCAAGTCTTCCCCTTTGGAGAAGGAAAAAAGATTCCCAGGTCCCATGATCCTGCACATACTTAATCCTGTCTCCCACTGCCGTCAGCAAAGAGGGCATGGCAAATAAATCCAAAGAGAATAGCGGTTAGCATCCTGCAGGGCTGAGTCCATTTTTAGGCAAGAGGGGTCTTACCAAGGGTCACTTCTAATTTTCCTCAGTTGGGTCTTGAATCCACGTTTCAACAAGCCTTCTTGTTGTTTACTAAGAGGGGTCTCTAACTCCCTGTGTCTTAGAAGGGATTCTAACTCTCCTAATTGGGGCCTCAAACCCAATTCCATCCATTACCCTGGGTAAAATACCCACTGCTTACCCAAAGTTGGCCAACTGGTGCCTCAGCCTATTTCCCTTGGGTCAGAGGTCTCTCCAGTATGATCCCTTCGTGGTTTCTTGCGAAAGATGTTACCAGAAAGGGGTCCTGATCCAGCCCCCAAGAGAGGGTTCATGGATCTTCCACCAGAAAGAATCTGGGGTAAGTCCACAGAATAAAGTGAAAGCAAGTTTATCAAGAAAGTAAAGGAATAAAAGAATGGCTGCTGGTTGGCTATTTTTATTGTTTTCTTGCTCATATGATAAACAAGGGTTGAATTATTCATGAGTTTTCTGGGAAAGAGGCAGGGATTTCCCCGGAACTGAGGGCTCTTTCGCCAGTTAGACCATCTAGGGTAACTTCCTGACATTGCCATCGCATTTGTAAACCATCATGGCGCTGGTGGGAGTGTCTTTCTGCATGGTAATACATTATAATTAGCGTATAATTAGCAGCAAGTATGGCAGAGGTCACTTTCATTGCCATCTTGAATTTGAAGGGTTTTGACCAGCTTCTTTACTGCCTCCTGTTTCATCAGCAGGTTGTTTGTGACCTGTAACCTCCTATCTCCTCCTGTGACTAAGAATGCCTAATCTGGGAATGCAGCCCAGCAGGTCTCAGCCTCATTCACACAGCCCGTATTCAAGCTGGAGTTGCTCTGGTTCAAAGGCCTCTGACAGAGGAACTGGATCTCTCATCCATTGAATACAGTTTTATTTCATTTTACAAAGGTTAAAACAGTCAGAACTAAACAATATATTGTTTAGGGACACATACCTGTGTGCTAAAATTATAAGGCAAGAGAATGATTAACACAACATTCAGGATTGTGGCTACCACCTCGGGGTAGGTAGTGGGGAGTTGAGAATAGGAAGAAGAACCTGGAGAGCTTTAAAAATACAGGAATAATGTGTTGTTTCTTAAGCTGGAAGGCATGTGTAGATCTTTTAGAAAATCAAAGCTTTGAATATAATGAGTGTTAGGCACGTTGCTCGTTTAAGAAGACCACCAAGCAGGCTTTGTGTGAGCAACATGGCTGTTTATTCACCTGGGTGCGGGCAGGCTGAGTTCAAAAAGAGAGTCAGCCAAGGGCAGTGGGATAGGAGTTGGTTTTATAGGTTGGGACAAGTGGTCAGTTAAAGGTGATAATCTATTTTAGGGAGGGGAAGGGCATCACAGATGCATGATCACAAGGGTAGGGGTCATCTGTTACAAACAGGCACTATCATGAGGGTGCAGGATATGGGTTGCAAGCAGAGGGGAGGGTGCTGTAAATTACACAGTCACAGGGGTGGGTGCCTAGAGAAACCCAGTATCCAGAGGGGAAATTCCACAAGGCTGAGCAGAAACAATGGTTGCAGGTTGCAGGGGTAGAGCAATTAGATGAGGCAGGAACAAGCTGTTTCACTTCTTTCTGTGACCACCTGGTTACTTGCCGTTACCTCAGACCTTCTGGCTTCTGGAGACCATCCGGAGGTGTACATGTGGGACACCAAGGCTATAATGGCCAAGCTTGGACTTGGAGACCTAACAATGAGTACTATGTGAAACATGGTTGGGACTCAGTTTAGCATGACAGAAACATTAATGAATTCCAGAAAGGTCTGTCTCCTCTCCAAAATCAAAAGCCAAAAGTGCATAACACTGTGTTTAGCACATTTCTATTTAAAGGTAATTTAAGATATGTGTTTATGACGTGTTTAAATACCATATAACATCTCTCAGAGGAATCACAAGAAACTAGAAATAGCGATCGCCTCTGGGCAGGGAACGGAGAGCGGCAATGTAAGGCTAATTTTTCACTGCATATCATTTATATAATTTGAACTCCTCCTCTTGTGTGTCTGTTACTGACCGGAAGGCTTTTGGGAAAGCCGGGGGAGGTAGCTAGCATGGAGCAGGAAAGCTGAAAGTGCAGGTGGGCAGGGGGCTGGTGCTCCCTCCTGCCAAGCTCTCCTGCCAGAGGCTCCAAGGCTACCAAGCCTTCTTCCTTAGGACTTTGAGATTGGTGGGGGGCCGGGAAACCTTTTAACACAGTGCACTAAAAGTTCTCGGCGGCTAGGGAGGGGAAAGGAGGAATCAGAGACCCTCTTTTGGCAGGAGGTTTGTGGATTGCAGATTGGTTGCAGAGAAACATCCCCACCGTCCCCACCCCGGGACCCTACAGCCTCAGACCTCCGTGATCCTGGCTTTTGAAACTGGTCAGCAGCACTCTGGAGGCGGCTGTTTTGAAGGGCCAAGGAGAGGGGCTGTCTTTCTGAGAAAGAGGGTGGCTCACGCCTTTCCACCTCCCGAGACCACGAGGGTCGAGGGGTCTTGCTCAGGGAATGAGAACTTCCCTCCTCGGTAGGCTTCACCTTCCCCCCGCCATGCTTCCCACCCCAGAAGATCTGCTTGGCCCACCTCCCAGCGCAACGCGGTGGAAGAGGGCCCTCTTGTGCCAGCGCCGACTCCCGCGCCCCTCCAGCCTGCAGCCAGCCCGCCACTCCTCCAGCGCGCCGGCGCAGGACACAAAAAAACCACAGCTCCCAGCAGCACCAGCGCCGCTCGGGCGCAGCCGCAGAGCAGACGCTGCCTGGCGCGAGAGCCCGGAGGCGGGGCGAGCGGCTGTGGGGCGGAAGTCCGCCGCCCTGCTCGGTCGTGGCCGTTCGCGCCGCCTGGCCCCACCGCCCGCGGGCACCGGAGCTGGCCCCGCAGCGGGTGAGTGACTCTGCGGCCGCCGGCGCCCTGTCCCCGCCATGGACTCGGAGGGCCATGCCCCCGTCCCGGAGCCTGCCGCCGCCCTCCCACCCCACCGCGTCCCGCCCCCTGACCCCTCAGGCCCGCTTCCCGTCCCACCCATGCGGGACCTCTGTCCCCTGACTTGCAGAGTGGACTGGGACGCCGCCCTCTGACCTGTGAGGAAAGTTCCCGTCTTCCGACAGGCGGTGGACACCACCCTCTCTGACTTTTGGGACACCTCTTCCCTGGGACTAGTGTGGGGACCATTTCCCTCTGATTAGTGTGGGCATCTCCCGCCTCTGGCTAGGGTGGGGCACACCCCCGGGAATGACCCCCTCCCACCACTCTCTGACATCAGACGCCCCTCCTCTGGTCTATGCAGGGCCTCTCTTGACTGATAAGGGCATTTTCTCCGTCTTACTGGCACTTTGTCACACTTGTAGCAGGCGAGGCTTCCCCACCCCATCCCAGTCCTTGATCTCCCTGCCCTCATCCAGTTTAGAGCCTTCCTCCAGGCAGCACAGCTCAGTCTCATCTTTCTGCAAAAAAAGGATTTGCCCTCCCCACGGTACCTGTCTCACACCCCTGCTGCCCTCTGGTCTGGATTCTCTCATTCCCCGGGACTGGTACCTCCTTGCCCATCCATGTTGCCTGCTGCCTTTGCTTTTGCCTCCGAATGGTCTTTCCCTTGCCCTCTGCATCCCTCGGCTTGGCACAGAGCACCTGTGACCACGCTAACGTCCCTCTCTCCCAAGCACCTTTCCGCCTTAGTGGCCCCTGTCTCCATAGCAGTCTCAGTGCCCAGCTCCATTTCTCATTTTCTTCTTGGGGTTGTATGCTCAAGTCTTTCCTGCCACATTTTCAACAAAGCAGAGGTTTGGGAACGTGAGTCTCTTGGTGTCAAGTGAATCTGGCTAGCCCTCCGGTGTAATCAACCAAACATGAAACAAGTGTCAGGTCCTAGAAGGCTCCGGAAAGGAAGCTGATGCTGCAGCCCTTCTGGAGCCACCACGCCTCCCAGCTCTTCCTCCCTCTCCCTCTGAGGAGCCTTGCTGAGAAAGGTCCTGGGCCACAGACCCTCCCTCCAGCCCCACCCCAGGCCTCTCAGCCTGATAGTCTGCCTGGAGCCTGTGGAATGGCTGCAGGCTCCTCCCCGTGCTCCTCCCTACTGGCCTCAATGAGCCCTCTATCCCAGCCCAGGCCCCTGCTGAAAGGCACATTGAAGGAGCCAGCCCTCTCCCCTCTGGATGTGGCAAGGGTTTCCTGTTGGGGCAGTCCCAAGCGTCTTCAGGGCCAGGACTCAGGTGAAGCATGGATTTGTCCAGGCACTGTCCCAAATTCTAGGTCTTCTGTCACTTTTTCATGTCCAAATGAATCTGATCACAAAAGAGAATGACATGTCACAAGGTGGTAGAGGAAACCGTCCACTGGCAGTGGGGTAGGACCCCTGGACCCTGAGACCCCACCCCCACGGGAGGAGCACATCTGTGGTTTGACACTTCTGTTCGCCAGAGGTCTCTTTTCTTATCCTGAGGCTATAACCATAGTTTCTTAGCCCTTGGCAGCTTAGTAAATGTGTTGGGTCAGCTCCCGGTACTCCACCTCACTGTGCACCTGAGCTGCAGGGCCCCCTGAGCTGCAGAGTTCTGAGGAGACCCAGGATGTGGGAGGAGCAGTTCTCCTTGCTCTGTGGGCGTTCTTACCCTGCTCCCTGGATGTGGCTCTCGGGGTGTCTGTGCCTGTGCAAGCTCCCACAAGTACATACCGCCCGTCATCAGAGTCTCAGTACTTTCTGAGCCATGTAAGTAGACGTATAAATGCTGTAGTGTTTTCTCTTTCACAAACAGAAGGTCTGAGACCTGGAACTATTGTCCACATCCTGAAATGGGTCAGTACTATGACAAAAGTCCTTTTTCTGTTGTTTGTAGAATGGTACCGGGGTGCTGAAGGGACATAGCATTGATTCTTTTAATTCAGTTCTCTCTCAGCTGTCAAAATTTCCTGGAAAGCTCTTGTGAAGTGCCAATATCAAGCGAATTAAAAACTTTTATATTGATTTTTAAGAATGTTCACGTTGATTTTCCTTTTCTTTTAATCAAGACGGTTAATTAGGAAAGAATGATTCTGACGATGGAGAAGTCTGTTTGTGCAGTTGTTCTGTTTTTTCTCTTGGCCCCTCCTCGTCTCTGTCTTGTGTGCAGTGGGGAGGTGGAGCCCACTGCTCCTGGTTCCCAGGCAGGACACTGCTTCCCCGTTCCTCTGGGATGGATCTATGGGAAGTGAGGAAGGTGCCGAAGTCTGGCTCAAGAGTTGATGCTACCATGTGGGGGTGGGGCAGAGATGAAATTGGGACCCCCCAGAATGGCTCTGAGGGTCTTGCTGGGTTGAATGAAAGTCCTGGAGATGCAGCCTTAGTGTCCCAGGAGCCAGGCCCTGAGGAAAGTGTGAAATGAGAGAGTGGCTGTGGGCAGGTGGCTCACAGAGGCGCCACTGTGGTGTAGAAGCCAGTCCTGATCCAGCTCCATCGGGGGATGATCCCAGCCCTTTATTTTCACACATTCTGGAAAAGGACAGCTTTCCAGATGTGTGGTGCCATTTGGAATGTCCCTTTCAACTGGGACATTCCAAGGTCACTTTTTGGCTAAAATCCCTCCAAGTATAACATCAATGATAAAAATTAAGCAGACACAGCCTCTTTACGGTGCAGTAAGTGCAAACCGTACAGGGTCTGAAGCTGTGCACCTACCCCATAGACAGTGACTGGTCCTGGCCCTTGGAAAACCTGGGGACTCTTTCCCCATCTTTCTCCTGCGATTGGTGGAGTAATAGCTCCCCGAGGTGTCCACGTCCTGCCTTCTGAGCTTGTAAAGATACTACATTACATGGCAAAGGGGAATTAAGGTTGTTAATCAGCCCACCATAAAATAGCGAGATGATCCTGGATTTTCCCAGGGAGCCCAGTGTCATCACAGAGTCCATAAGAACAGAAGATGGAAGTGAAGGCCAAGAGGCTTGGAGATGTGTGGTGGGTGGGGCTTGGAGGAGGAGGAGGGGCCACCAGGCGAGGAATGTAGGTGCCTCCAGAAGCTGGTAGAGGCACGGGAATGGCTTCTCCTGAGAGCCTGAGAAAGGAGTGCAGCCCATGACCCCTGCCAGGCTTTGGTCTACAGGACGGCGCCTGCTGCTTGCTGTGTGCCAGATACGGGACACTGGGGACAGGTGCAGAAGACAGTAAGATCCTGAGCTTGGCTCTAAGGAGGGTGCTATCTGTGGAGGCAGGATGGCCTCAGTAACCCTAAAGGACAGGCTCCCTGTGACCTTCTCCCTCCTTTCTGGTTTCCTTGTGCTGCCCACCCCAGTGTGGATTTGAAACGGAATTTTCAAGTACGATAATTAGCCTCGCAGGTGCAAAAGCAGGAATCAGGTAACATTTTCAAGGCGTCTGGCCCACAGCAGGCATTAATAAATGTTTCTTTCAGATGCACCACTGTGTTCTCTGGCGCTGTTAGCATGGGTGTTTGGAGGCCCTGGCTGCTGCCTGGGCCGTGCTGAAGAGTGTGAGGTCAGCGGGGTTTGCTCTGTGAACACAGTGGGCACTGTGAGGCCTGCCTGCCTGCTCTCTAGGTAGCTCTTCTCCAAGGATAAAGGGTTGGCGTGTCCGCCACCTGCCTGCCTGTCCCTGCCAATGAGGTGGGGGCTAGGATGTAGTGTCTTCTCAACCTGATGCTGTTGCTTCCTGCCCTTCCAAGACCCTGAAAGGGAGGAGCCGGGCAGCCCTCACTAAAGCTGCTGGTTCTGCCACCTGTCCTATTCCACCCCTGCAGGAAGCGGGAGAAACAGACTCTCTCGGCTGTCTGCTGTCCAGGGAGTCACCACTCCCTTCAACATAGACTTTCAGAGAGGGCAGCGGCAGGCCTGGGGATAGCCTCGGGAGGTAGGTGGCCCCTGAGCCCATGGCTTGCTCCTGGGAAAAGGAAGCAGCAGGAAGAGGCCCCCGCGGTCCCACAGAGAAAAGCCAACTGTTTCCCTAACTCCCTGCTCCTAACTACCCTCTCCCTAACTCTTCCTCCCTAATCCACCTCCCTAACTCCCCCTCCCTAACTTTCACCTCCCTAACTCGCCCCTCCCCAAACCCTCCTTAAATCTCCCCTCCCTAATCCCCCTCCCTAACCACCCCCTCCCTAACCTCCCTCTCCCCAACCCCCACTTCATAACTCCCCCTCCCTAACTTTCTCCTCCCTAAATCTCCCCTCCCTTACTTCCCCATCCCTAACTCCCTCCCAGCCTCCCTATCCATAACCCCCCTTCCTAACTCCTCTCTCCCTAACTCCCCCTTCCTAACTCCCTTCTCCCTATCTCCCCCTTCCTAACTCACCTCCCTAAATCCCCTCTCCCTAACTCCCCTCCCTGACTCCCCCTTCCTAACTCCCCTCTCCCTAACTCCGCCTTCCTAACTCCCCTCTCCTAACTCCCCCTCTTCCTAACTGCCCCCCTTCCTAACTCCCCTCACCCTAACCCCTCCTCCCTAACTCATGGCTTCACTCTTGCTCTGGGAGTATCCTGTGGGATGGACAGATGCCTCATGGTCCCTATGAGCCTTTCAGGTAGTTGCCACTCCTGTGAGTGCTCTCCAGGCAGCAGCAGGGGTGCTGTCCCCTAGGCCCCTGAGCCTGCAGCCCCGCCTGAACAGGAGAGCCTGGCTGACCTTGAACCCACGACTTTGCTGTAGTTTCTGGGTCCTCTTGTTGCTGATTATCTAAAATCAGAACAT